ACTTATTGAGAGAAGCATCAGAGCATAGCAGTCTTTGTGTAGATTCTAGAGCCAGTTCGCCTGGATTTAAATCCTTGTTGTGCTCATCGACCCTGTGACCTTGGGTATATTACCTCACCTTTCTGTGCCTCAATTCTGTCATCTATATAATGATGAAAATAATGCCTACTTAAAGGGGATTAAATTATTTTATATTTGTAGTGTTTTTAGAACAGTGCGTGATACTATATAGTGCTAAATGTGATACAAATCGTCTTTCAGATAATTTGCTAAAAGCCTGTTTTGTATTTAACTTGTCTTGAGTACACTCCTAAAGCCCTAACCAAACTATACCACCTCCTTATTAAATGGCTATGTGTTTCACATAAAGCCAGGCATGTGGAAAGATGTGCTGATGAAAAATGCAACACTCCTGGGAAGGAATCTGCTTAAGACCACATTCTATAAAAGCTGTTATCTTTCTGGTATGCTTACTCTATGTACCAGATCTTAAATTATTAATTGGTTGTGTCTGTAACAGTATCTAAGGATTCTTAAAATTCAGATCTTATACAAGCAATTTTTAAAATAATTGACAATGGCTAAACCTATTCTGTGGACTTAGGGTTCAGTCTCTGACTCTAATTGCTTACATTGTTACTTTAAGTAACAGTGCTTATCAAACTGCTTTCCAACGAGGCTTTACCCTCTTTCCATACATTCTGCAAATAGTCTGTGAAAATTGCTTATTACAGGAAATTGCTTCTTTTTGTTTGGTGCCACATCTCTATTTTCTCTGTGTGTCCTGCTCAGCTGCCTCAGTATTCTATCTTTGACGGTGATGAAAGGAGAGCTTAAGATTCTTTCGACAGGGTAAGTAATTTCCACATTGATTTCAAACTGAAAACAGATACCACATTGCACAGAACTTGGTCTATGGGGGTTGGATGGGACCGACCCTACTTGTGATCTTCAGGAATGAGGACTCTGACACAGGCCTGGCCCATCAGGGCTTTTCTTGGGACTTTTGCTAGAACCACTGGGGAAAAGGAGTTCTCATATCAGGACTCCTAGCTTTAGAGATACTAGTGGTCATCGCTGCTATCACATAAAGAAAGCTTGTTGGAAAATGAAGGTAGTGCAGGGGAAAGCAGTGGTATGAAACAAAGGAAAACAGATCTGCCGGTATCTCTGGTATATTCTATGTAAAGCTTTCAAGTACTTCTCTGGACGTGGTAGCCTACATTTTACTATTTATACATTTTAATGCCTAAATATTTCATGATCACTGTTGTGTACCACATATACACACACCTGTAGACTATAAAACAAATAAATGAATGAACATTTCTTATTAATATGTCCTATTAGGGGCTGGCCCTGTGGCATAGTGGTTAAGTTTGGCACGTTCTGCTTCAGTGGCCTTGGTTCACAGGTTCAGATGCCAGGTGCAGACCAACACCACTCATCAGCCGTGCTGTGGCAGCGACTCATATATAAAGTGGAGGAAGACTGGCATAGATGTTAAGCAGGGCTAATCTTCCTCAAGTGAAAAAAGAGGAAGATTGGCAACAGACGTCAGCTCAGGGCTACTCTTCCCTAGCAAATAACTAACTAACTAACTAACTAACTAACTAAAGTCCTATTATATGTGGCCATAACTGATTTTTGTGATAATCTGAAAACTATAATTGGCAGTTTCAGAAAGCCATCTAGTCAAAAAAACAAATGAAATAAGATTGCAGAGGGAAAGAAAACATAACTTATATCCAGCAACAGGCTCCCTCTGATTTCATATTAGAAATCACTGAGTTTATTACAGGCCCACAGTCTGTTTCTCTGAAACCCACGGGGCCAGACAGACTTTTCAAGCTGGATTTCTTCAGCTCCTCTAAGCTTGCCCCTTTGTTTTCATCTGGTCATTTGGATCTCTACCATGCTAGAGGCTTTCCTCAAATGTTTGTTGATGCTGATCTGTCTGTTCGTATTTGAATACTAAAAAGCAGATCAGAAGCACTTATCACTACCGCTGCCTTAGGCATATCAACTTGGGGGACTTTATTATTGAACTTTTTCTTCAGGGCCCCAAATTTCCTGTCTCTAGGTCTCAATCCCCTGCCTGAGGTGAATGACCCTATCTGATAGTGTTCTGGACACAGGGAGTGGAAGGAGACTGCAGGTGCCATGGTCAGCATGATTCGGGGGGGAGCAGGGAGGGTCTTGCTGGCTTAACTGCTCTTCACACAGTTTTCAACCAGTTATGTTTCTACATTTGTGTGGTAAAATACACATAAAATTTACTGTTTTAACCAGTTTTAAGTGGATAATTTGGTGGCATTAGGTAGATTCAAAACATTGTATAACCATCACCACTATCTCTGTCCAAAATTTTTCATCATCCCCAACAAAAACTCTGTAGCCATTAAACAATGCCACTCCCACCCTTCTTCCTCCCAGTTCCTGGCAACCTCTACCCTACTTTCTGTCTCTATCAATTTGCCTATTATTCTACGTATTTTATATAAGTAGAATCATACAATCTTTGTCCTTTTGTGTTGTTTGTACCTTTTTGTTTTTCAAATAACTTAGGCTAAGCAAATGGCCCAAGGCCATCAGCTGTAAGTGGCAATGTGGCCACAGGAACCTAGCTGGGTATGTCTGTCAAAAGAAGCTATACTCTTAACTGCTATGCATTATTACCTTAGTAGTGGACTTTTTCCATCCATATGCATATATGTATCCATACAATAGCAGGTATTTTGTACTTGATATTTTATCTACAATGTTTTTCCATACCATTAGGAATTCTTTGAAACATTTTAATGCTTCCTAATCTATCATTTTGGATGTATCATGCTTTAATTATTTTTGGTTGACATTTAATTATTTGTTTTGAATTTGAAGTAACAATATGTACCTTTGTACTTAAATACCTGTATTTCTGATTAGAACCCTAGAATAAAACAGAATGTAATTTCTGGTTCAAACAATAGAACATACTTAATATTTAATACTTATTGTTAAATCATTCTTCAGAAATTAGCTAGTTTATAATACTACAAGTACTCTTGTATCAATAGAACATACTTAATATTTAATACTTATTGTTAAATCATTCTTCAGAAATTAGCTAGTTTATAATACTACAAGTACTCTTGTATCATTTTCATCAACATTGCTTTTTTTTTTTTAGGAAGATTAGCCCTGAGCTAACTGCTGCCAGTCCTCCTCTTTTTTTCTGAGGAAGACTGGCCCTAAGCTAACATCCTTGCCCATCTTCCTCTACTTTACATGTGGGACGCCTGCCACAGCATGGCTTGACAAGCAGTGCCATGTCCACACCCGGTATCTGAACTGGCGAACCCTGGGCAGCCGAAGTGGAACGTGTGCACTTAACCACTGAGCCACCAGGCCAGCCCCAAGTTTTATTTTAATTATATAAAAAATAATGTTCTACTAGTTGTAATAGATTCTTTAATAACTAATGATGAAGAATGTTTTTCATTTTATTTACTATTTTTATTTCTATATGTCACTAGCTCATTTTCCATCCTGTGTTTTAAGGTATTCATATAAACTTTTCTATATTTTGTGGCAAATTTTTTTCTTTGCTTTAAATTTGATGAATTAATGGGTGGAACAGAAAGTAGAATCCAGCATTCCATTGTTTTGTCTGGATTCCTCATTGAAATCGAGAAGATTCTTTGCTGGCTAGTGCTTAACACTTTAATTGGCTTTGTAGTTTTCAAAGGGGAAATATTTTTATTGCTTTTAGTAATTAAAAAACTAAGAAATGAGTGTTCTTTTTAAAACCATTCAATCAGTATAGAAATAGACAAAATAGAAAACTAAAGGCTCAATAATCCCATTCCCATATAACCATCTGCAGAAGGAATGGGAAGACTTAATCGTAAACACAAAGAAATATAATACATGAAAAATGAGGCAGTTACTAACTTTAGGAAAATGTAATCGCAGCACACGTTAGCTCAGAAGTGAACATTATTTACATGGTCATAGAATAAAAATAATAAATATGAATTTAACAAAAAATTTTAACATAGCCATATTAGGAAGATGGAAGGGGGCTGGGGGGAGTATAGGAGATTCAGAAATTCTCCTTTATCCCTTTATGAATTAAGTTGTGGAAATACATGTACGTACATATGAAAAGAAACAGCTCAAGAAGTTAGCTGATTCTGGGGATAGTTCGGGCAGACAAATTACTGCTGCTTGGTTTTAGGCCTTTTAGAGCTACTTGACTTTATACATTTTTTTTGGGGGGGGAAGATTAGCCCTGAGCTAACATCTGCTGCCAATCCTCCTCTTTTTGCCGAGGAAGACTGGCCCTGAGCTAACATCTGTGCCCATCTTCCTCTACTTTACATGTGGGACACCTACCACAGCATGGCTCGCCAAGTGGTGCCGTGTCCACACCTGGGATCTGAACTGGTGAACCCCAGGCCACCGAAGCAGAATGTGAGCACTTAACTGCTGCGCCACTGGGCCTGCCCCTTGACTTTATATTTTATGGGTGATTACAATTTATCTACACTGGGCTAAAGCTAAAAGAAATAAGAGGACAAAACATCCATATTTAAAAACAAAATTCTCTTGAAAATTTTATTAACATTTATTTTTTTTGGAAATTTATTTTTATTGAGATATAATTGACATATAACATTGTGTAATTTTTTTTTTAAAGTCCCCCGTACATAGTTGCATATTCTAGTTGTGAGTGCCTCTGGTTGTGCTATGTAGGACACCACCTCAGCATGGCCTGATGAGTGGTGCCATGTCTGTACCCAGCATCCGAACTGGCGAAACCCTGGGCCACCGAAGCAGAGAGCACGAACCCAACCACTGGGTCATGGGGCCAGCCCTTTATTAACATTTAATAACAATAAATCATGAAGTTTTTTTTATGAAGTTTCTTTATGAAGTTACTGTTTTAAAGACGAAATTTATTTAAAAAGTCCTCATGTAAACCAATCAGACACAAATAAACTTTTATAACGAACTTCTCAAACAAATTTTTTTAATATCTATCTTTTTTCCTGGGATGACAACAGCATTACTATGATAGTATTAAGTTTTCTTTTTTATTCAAATGAACTGTTTTCAAGATTAATGGTTATTAGCAAATCTTAATTTTTACTCTGCTAAGGCAAGATAGAAACTTGATACTTTTAAATTATTTCTCAATTTCCTATGAACTATTTTATAGTAAAAAACTATCTGGGACTAAGTGTTCTTATGCTCAAATTCTAAAAGTAATCTTTAGTTTCAACTGAACTTGGTACTCCAAGATTGAAAAAAATTTTTTTAATGATATTTATATAATAAATATAATTTTAATCACTCAGTTCTTCCTCATCACTGAAATATGCGCTTTTCTTTATCCTTGGGCGTCTTGAATCATCTGATGTTGAGGGACCCCCTGAACTGGGTTTCCATTTTTTTTGTTCTTCTTCAATTTTGGCTTGCTGTAATGTGATTCAGGAAACAAACAAAACAAAACAAAACCAAGAGCCAGTTTAATATTATTATGGTGCACTAATTCAAAACATGGCAAAAACACACCACAAGTGCCAACACTCCCCACTTTCCCAGCCCATGAAGACAATTCTCCTCCATCAGGACATCCCTCCTCCATCCCTGAGTTATGTCCTAGTCTCACCATGCTACTCAAAATTATTCCAGGCAATTACTACTAAGTGACAGGCATGTGAAATGAAGCCTATCTGCCATCCCTGCCGGAGATGGGAATATCATATAAAATACGACATTAGTTAACTAAAAGGAAAAATAAATTGACATATGCACCTACAGTTTATCAACTAAATTAAAATAAAATGTAGTTACATAAAACCAGGAGATTATATTCCCTTCATCAAAAAATGTTTCATATACAGGCATACTTCGGAGATATTGCGGGTTTGGTTCCAGACCACTGCAATAAAGTGAGTCCCATGAAATTCTGGTTTCCCAGCACATATAAAAGTTATGTTTACACTATACTGTAGTCTTTTAAGTGTGCAATAGCATTATGTCTAAAAAAACAATGTACATACTTATCTTAATTAAAAAATACTTTACTGCTAAAAAATGCTAACCATCACCTAAGCCTTCAGAGAGTCATAATCTTTTCTTTGCTGGTGGAGGGTCTTGCCTTAGTGTTGATGGCTGCTGACTGATGAGGGTGGTGGTTGCTGAAGGTTGGAGTGGCTGTGGCAATTTCTTAGAATAAGACAACAATGAAGTCAGCTGCATCAACTGACTGTTCCTTTCACAATCGATTTCTCTGTGGCATGCAATGCTGTTTCACAGCATTTTACCCACAGTAGAACTTCTTTCAAAAGTGGAGTCAATCCTCTCAAACTCTGCTGCTGCTTCATCAACTAGGTTTATGGAATATTCTAAATCCTTTGTTGTCATTTCAACAATCTTCACAGCATCTTCACCAGGAGCAGATTCCATCACAAGAAACCACTTTCTTTGTTCATCCATACGAAGCAGCTCCTCATCCATTAAAGTTTTATCATCAGATTGCAGCAATTCAGTTACATCTTCAGGCTTCACTTCTAATTCTAGTCCTCTTGCTCTTTCCACCACATCTGCAGTTACTTCCTCCACTGAAGTCTTGAACCCCCTAAGACATCCATGAGGGTTGAAATCAACTCCTTCCAAACTCCTAATAATGTTGATATTTTAAGCTCTTTCCATGAATCACAAATGTTCTTAATAGCATTTAGAATGGAGAATCCTTTCCAGAAGGTTTTGCCCAGATCCATCAGAGAGACTGAATCACTATCTATGGCAGCTATAGCCTTATGAAATGTATTTCTTGAAATAATAATAAGACTTGAAAGTCAAAATTGCATCTTGATCCATGGGCTTCATGCCATGTTAGCAGGCATGAAAACAACAATAATTGCATTGTACATCTCTATCAGAGCGCTAGGGTAAGCAGGTGCATTGTCAATGAGCAGTAATAGTTTGAAAGGAATCTGTTTTTTCTGAGCAGTATGTCTCACCAGAGGGCTTAAAATGTTCAGTAAACCATGTTGTAAACAGATGTGCTGTCATCCAGTCTTTGTTGTTCCATTTATAGACCATAGGCAGAGTAGATTTAGCATAATTCTTAATGGCCCTAGGATTTTCAGAATGGTAAATGAGCATTGGTTTCAACTTAAAAGTCATCAGCTGCATTAGCCCCTAAGAAGTCAGCCTGTCCTTTGAAGGTTTGAAGCCAGGCACTGACTTCTCCTCTGTGGCTATGGAAAGTCCTAGATGGCATCTTCTTCCAACATAAGGCTGTTTCCTCTACATTGAAAATCTGTTGTTTAGTGCAGCCACCTTCCTTAATTATCTTAGCTAGATCTTCTGGATAACTCGCTGCAGCTTCTACATCACCACTTGCTGCTTCACCTTGCACTTTTATGTTATGGAGATGGCTTCTCTCCTTAAACCTCATGAACCAACCTCTGCTACCTTAAAACTTTTCTTCTGAAGCTTCCTCACCTCTCTCAGCCTTCATAGAATTGAAGAGAGTAAGGGCCTTGCTCTGGATTAGGCTTTGGTTTAAGGGAATGTTGTTGTTGGTTTGATCTTCTATCCAGACCACTAAAACTTTTTCCACATCAGCAATAAGGCTGTTTCACTTTCTTGTCATATATGTGTTCAATGGGGTAGCACTTTTAATTTCCTCCAAGAACTTTTCCTTTGTATGCACAACTTGGCTAAGTGTTTGGCGCAAGAGGCCTAGCTTTTGGCCTTATCTCAGCTTTCGACATGCCTTCCTCACTAAGCTTAATCATTTCTAGCTTTTGATTTAAAGTGAGGGATATGTGACTCTTCCTTTCACTTGAACACTTAGAGGCCACTGTAGGGTTATTAACTGGCCTAACTTCAATATTATCCTGTCTCAGGGCGTAGGGAAGTCTGAGGAGAGGGAGAGATATGGGGTAATGGCCAGTTAGGGGAGCAGTCAGAACACACACAACATCTATCAGTTAAGTTCACTGTCTTGTATGGGTGCAGTTCATGGCACCTCAAAACAATTATAATAGTAACATCAAAGATCACTGATCACAGATCACCACAAGAAATATAATAATAATGAAAAAGTTTGAAATATTGTGAGAATTAACAAAACATAACACAGAGACGTGAAGCACGCAAATGCTGTTGGAAAAATGGTGCTGATGGACTTGCTCAACACAGAGTTGCCACAAACCTTCATTTGTAAAAGACGCAATATCTGCGAAACACAGTATCTGCAGAGCACAATAAAGTGAGGTATGCCTGTACTTGTGTTAGGGCCTTTAATGGGTAAAAGTATGTTTTTGGTTTTGTTTTGAAGTGAAGCTTCTTTTAAAACGATATCTTTGATCTAATAAGGGGTTAGCATCCAAAATATATGAAGAACTCAAACAATTCAACAACACAAAATACAAATAACCTGATTAAAAAAAGGGCAGAATCGACATTTTTCCAAAGAAGACATACAGGTGGCCAATGGGCACACAAGATGTTCAATATCACTAATCATTTGGGAAATGCGGATCAAAACCACAATGAGACATCATCTCACACCCATTAGAATGGCTATTATCAAAAAGACAAGAAATAAGTGTTGGAGAGGATGTGGAGAAAAGAGAACCCTCATACACTGTTGGTGGGTATGTAAACTGGTGCAGCCATTATGGAAAACACTATGGAGATTCCTCAAATAATTAAGAATAGAACTACCATAGATCTAGCTATTCTACTTCTGGATATTTATCTGAAGAATATGAAAACACTAATTTGAAAAGATATGTACACCCTTATGTTCACTGCAACATTACTTATAACAGCTAAGATATGGAAACAACCTAAGTGCCCATAAACGGATGAATGGATAAAGATGCAGCATATATGGTCATGTGTTGCTTAACAAGGAGGATACCTTTTGAGAAATGCATCGCTAGGCAATTTTGTCATTGTGTGATCATCATAGAGTATGCTTACACAAACCCAGATGATATAGGCTACTACACACTCAAGCTATATGGTACTAATCTTATGGGACCACCATTGTATATATGGTATATCACTGACCGAATGTCATTATGTCGCACATGACTATACATACAACAGAATACTACTCAGCCATAAAAAAGGATAACATCTTGCCATTTATGACAACATGGATGGACCCTGAGGGTATTATGCTAAGTAAAATAAATCAGATGGAGAAACCCAAATACTGTATGATTTCACTCATATGTGGAATATAAAAAACAAAACAAAGAAAAAAACAAAAAACTCAGAAGCAGACAATAGATTGGTGGTTACCACAGGGGAAGGGAGGTAGGGTAAGGGCAACATGAGTGAAGGTGGTCAATTGTATGGTGACAAATGGAAACTAGACTTTTGGTGGTGAGCATGCTGTGGTGTATATAGATGTTGAATTATAATGTTGTATACCTGAAACCTATATAATGTTATAAACCAATGTTGCCTGAAAAAAAAGGACCAAAAAAAATAAAACAATATCTTTAATAAAATCTTTTCTGTTGGGATAAATTCATTTTAATCAAATAGTTCTGCTCAATTCTATAATGAAAACAGATTAAAACATTAAAAGAGTTATGGGGCCCTTAAAATCTACAAAGAACCAAGGAGAACTTTTCCATCACGCTGCTCTAAAGATCTTAAAGAAATAGCCTGCCTCCTAAAGTTTAGGAAGTGAAGGGGAAAGACGGAGGTTGCCATGAGGAGATGATCAATAAAGTAAGCAAGGAATACACAACTGTTAACCCAAGGCAGCTACTGCATGGTGTCTTTTAAAGGAACTGCTCAGTACCTGGAAAGCTATGGCCTGGCTGAGGCTGTCAAGAGCTGGGTCTTCCCCTTCATCTTCACTCTCTTCTACTCCTTCACTAAATTATTACCCAAAAAAAAAATCAGAATACACTCAGTCAAGAGTACAAAGACAGAAGCAACACAATAAAGTACTTAGTAAGAATGGTTATACATACATTTCTTCTTCTGGTTCAGGAATTTTCTTTTTTTTCTTTTTCTCCTTCTTCTTTGGAGGTTCACGTTCTCCAAGCATATTTTTAGGACAGGCATAACTTAAGTGTCCACTTTCCTTTTGTTTCCCATTAAAAAGGAAAGAAAAATACTATATTTGTTGTGTTATTAACAGAATCTTGCCTGGTACCCTAAGACTAAAAGGTTTTAGAAGTTACAAAAGAATACTGTCACACTGGGAATATACACAAAGAAATTAACAAAACTGATTACTTTAATATTTAGAAGGAAGAGATTATGATATTATAACTCCCAATAAACAACTTTAACAATAAGGGAGTATTTTAGTAGTTTCACTAAGAGTAAAAGAAGTATTCTTCCTACAAACATTTTATTATTATTATGTGTGAGGAAGATTTACCCTGAGCTAACATCCATTGCCAATGCTGCTTTTTTTTGCTTGAGGAAGATTAGCCCTCAGCTAACAACTGTGCCAATCTTCCTCCACTTTATATGTGGGATGCCTCCACAGCATGGCTGCTGAGTAGAATAAGTCGGCACCCAGGATCTGAACCTGTGAACCCCAGGCTACCGAAGTGGAATGTGTGGAACTTTAACTACTCGGCCACGGGGCGGGCCCCCTTACAAACATTTTAAATCTCAAGTTTCAGGATATAAAACAATTCAAAATTTAAGTGGAAATGGACCACCTATCTTAAATGTAAAAATTTTAAGTTATTATTTGATATAATGGGGACAAAACTATTCCTGTTAACTTCCAAAATGTTGCTTAACATTCTGTTTTAAAAACAAACGGAAAATTTAAAGTCTTCCTCACTTTTCCTATTAATTTCATTTTGCTCCTTACATCTAGACTTTACCTGCACTGTCCAATTATGGTAGCCACCAGGTATAATTCTTTTATGGCTACTAAGAACCTGTCTGAATTGATATGCACGATAAGGGTAAATACACACTGGATTTTGAATAATGTAAAATATATTAATTTTTAAAAATATTAATTATGTGTTCAAATGATATTGTAGATATATACTGGGTTAAATATAAGATATTATTAATTTTTATCTGGTTCTTTTCTTTTTTTTTCTGCTGAGAAGGATTAGCCCTGAGCTAACATCTGTGCCAATCTTCCTCCACTTTATATGTGGGTCACCACAACAGCATGGCTGATGAGTGGTGTAGGTCTGCACCTGAGATCCAAACCTGTGAACCCGGGCTGCCAGAGCAAAGTGTGTCAAACTTAACCACTAGGCCATAGGGCTGACCCCTTCCTGTTTCTTTTTTTAATGTGGCTACTTGAAAATTTAAAATTACATTTATGGCTTGCATTATATTCATATTTGACAGTGCCAAACTAGCCATAATATGATAATGAGCCAAAATACTGATTTGTTAAACATAAGACAATGAACTACAGTCATACACAGGACAATGGCGTCTCGGTCAACAATGGACCACATATGAGACGATGGTCCCATAAAATTAGTACCATATAACCTAGATGTGTAGCAGACTATACCATCTAGGTTTGTGCAAGCATGCACTATGATGTCACAGTGACAAAATTGCCTGATGACACATTTCTCATAAGTATCCCCACTGTTAAGCAACACATGACTGTATAATCTGTACATTAGCTCACTAAATTACATTTATGAAGTAACATGTGACAGAAAGGGAGTGTAGAGAGCCTAAGCCAGGATTAGAACAATAGAAGAGAAAAATAATCATGCTTTTTTAGTTCACAAAGCATCAAATAGACTGTGTACTTTGAATATCTGGGGACATGGCTGAACCCAAGAGGTGTTATTGTTAATGAATTGCTGAGAGAATGTACTTAGAGAAGCATTTTCCAAACTGTTTTTGGAATAATGGCATAAGAAAATATGTTAACATATCCCATATTTTAAAAAAAAGAATTTAGTAGTAAAATAACTTTGGGAAAAACTAGGCTACATAAATGTAAGCAGATTCTTTTCGGGGCGGGGGGAATTTAAGAAATATAAACATGTACAAAGTCTAACAAATCTATGGATCCATAAACCAAAAAGACAGATTAATAGATTCATCCAGGATTTCTCAGATAATTTGATATTTACTGTGAATATGAGGATACATACTAATCTATCTAACCATATGTGACCATGACTACTCCTCCATTTCTTCCTTCCTTTTCTTTTCTTTTTAAACAAAACTCAGGACTCTAGAACACAGTTTCTGAAACATTAACTTAAGAGGTGAGAATCACAGGTTAGAATCACAGAAATTGACAGAATGTACCCAAGGCCTTGCTTGCTCTTTCCTTCTATCCATCTATCCATCCATCCATCCGTCTATCTGTTTATCTATATATCTTTTGGGGGAAGGAGAAGTAGGGAGTGGCAGCGGAGGAAAGGACCCCAAATCATTTCCTTGTATCTTCCTCATGATTTTGTAGCCAGGAAAATGTCTCTCAGTAATCCTCTCCCCAGTAATACAGCGGGACCCTGTTTTTTAAAGTATTTTATATAGGCATTTTGGAAAGTGACAGCAATTAAGACCAACACTGAAGTTCTCTTGCTATCATTACGGGCCTTGTGCAAAATTGTTCTCTGGCTATATATCTCTAATCACCAAAAGTTTAAATGGATAACGACAGATGATGGGAACTAGGTATGAAAATTTGGGGATAGTTCAGTTACAAAACATTTGCAGTACTAATAGGAATATTATTCCTATTAATACAATATCCTAATTAATAGGTCATAAGATAATGCTTATACTGAGCTGTAATGCTTAAACACTGGCAAAGTATTATAGAAACAGGTAATATCCTATTAACACAAAAACTTATGGGGAACTAAAATCTTTCAAAACAGTAAAGTAATTAGTCTAACAGTTTTTAATCTAACAATTTTCAAAGATTTAGAAACTAGAGAAAGTACCACTGTATATTACCCAGCTCAGGTTATCTTTACGTACTGCATTTCAATTGAGTTTCCTTAGATGAGTCTGGAATTCCAAAGTAAAATAACTTTCATAACCCAGTTTTAGCCAGTCAGAAGTTTTGGAGAACACAAATAAAACACTGATGTGAAAAATACCTTACAGTAAACTATGGAAAATTGCATTGTTTTAGGTATACTCACCCCACATTCATAACACTTAGATTTATCAAAGTAGTTTCGTCTTCGGATAAACTCAGCTGCTCTTCCATTGTCAATAGCAATGCTTGCTTTTATCACTCTACCAAATAACTAAACCAGAAAAAAATGTAATTGCAGAAGGATGTATTTCATCGAAACCTAAAACTACAGTTATTTGATCCCATTGCCTCAAACCTTCAATTCCATTTTATTTTTTAGATTATTATAGCAATTCCCTACTCAGTTGTGATAAATTCTATCCAGTAGAATATATTCTTATTCCTTAGATTCTACCAATGTTTTGGGAACCCAGTAGAGTTTTGACCTCTTTTCTCTCCCATAAGTTAAATACCCTCAGAATCTACTGTACCCATCAGACTTGACCATCCACTGCATCCCCCACATGTTTAGCCTGAATGAGCAAAAAGGCTTTTGGGTTAAAAAATGGCTTACCTGTTTGTTGTTTATTGCCCTGGTACAGTTTTGTGCAGAGTCTTTATCCAAAAATAAAATAAATGCAACCCCTTTACTCCTCCTGGTATCTTTATCTTTCATAATGGTAACCCTTAAAGCATAAACAAATAGGCAGTTAAAAATAATGAGGCAGTAATAAATAAAATAGATTTTAATAAATACTTGGAAAACTCAAGTGTTCAAATAAGGGTTAATAAAACACAAAGTAAGAGAAATTAATACATTTGACAAATCAGCTATCTCTTCAACAACATGGGATATCAAGGAGCATGGAAATGAGAAAGTGTGATACTGATTTAACACAAGTGAGCAGAGCTATTAGGAGCATCTGATAAAGCAAACATTAATCAGAGGTTGAAGGATGAAGTAAAGAGATTACAGAGACAACGGAATCTTGGAGAGTAGGCATAATTCCTCTTCTCTGCTAACTCCCTCACCATGCAGGAAAAGCCAAAACAAAACTGAGGAATCTTAAATTATTTTTTTCTAGGTTTTAGAATCTAATTGTATTCTTAATATTCTTTTAAAGAATCTCCAGTTCTGTGGTCCTTAGCCATACCATCCAAGGTACCTAAGTGACAGGAATGGTGATAAGAGCACAGAGCCTACTCTTTGTCCTGACCTCTTACACATCCCTCATCCTGTGACCCTTGTTCAGCATGTCATTAAATACAGTTTAAAAAACAATGTTCAACAAAGCTCTTGGGAGAAATGGCTGATTTCAAGGCTGGGCCAGGGTAAGTACAAGATGAACTTGGAACATCTTGTTATCCTTAAAATAAAAAGAAACGATGGAGCATGGAACAAGAATACAGAAGTCAGGTAGAAGGAGCTCCCATTGGCCAAATCTAGGACAATCTCAGTACCAATTAAGTATAGTATTGAGTTATAAACCATAGAAAAAATTAAGAATTCATAAGTCTATATTAATAAGAAATAGAAGATAAATGAGGGAGAAGGTAGGGCTCTTGCTTACAGCAGAAGGCCAAGGGATGACTAGTGAATGTACAGAATGCTGGAGTTGGAAAATCACCATTTACAACAATCATGGTAAAGACTGGATCAGGCAAGAATCCTTAATGAATGCTAAATCTAACATGAAATTTTTATGTGGAATAGGATATTTCATTGTTTTAAGGGTGTCTCCCACAGACTACTTATTAGTTGCAAAGGGAAAAAAAATATAATTACACAGTGGAGAAACTGGTCAACACCTTGACTGGGTGATTAAAATTAATATCACTAATGAGGGACAGATGGACACTGTATGAATCCAGATTTGATACCCTCAGAACAGAACATCACCTATACAGTATACCAGCCAAGACTACTTAACCCCAATCTAATCGTGAGGCAACATCAGAAAAACACAAAATGAGGGGGAAAAAAGATGGGAGAGAGCTATATTCTCTATAAATGTTCCAGATTACAGGAGGCTAAAACGATAGGACAGTTAAAGTCAACACCTAACTCTAGACTGGATCCTGTACCAGAGGGGAAAAATTCTACGTGGGACATCATTAGGTCAACTGAAAAATCGGAACATGGACGGGTGATTCAGTAAAATTATTTTATTAGTATAAATTTCTGAATTTGGTAACTGTACTGTGGTTATATAATATATAACCCTAGTTTTAGGAAATACACAACTGAAAGTATCTGAGTAAAGGGCGATGACGTTTGTAACTTACCTTCAAATGATTCCCAAAACCAAACTGTGTATACACATATGTATATATATACACACATACATGTACATATATATATATATATATATACACATACATACTTACACACACATGAGGGAGAGAGAGAGTGCAAATGATGAAATAAACTGGGTAAAATGTTAACAATAGGTAAATTTGGGTAAAGGATATTTTGATGTTCTTTGTACTATTTTTGCAACTTTTTATAAATTGGCAATTATTTTCAAACAGTAAAAAAAAAATACGTTCAAGACAAAGCTTAATAACTTTCTAAAACCTGATTAACAGGCAAAGAGACAAAAGGATACAAGTGAATAAACAGAAATTTTATTTAATATTACATTTCACATTTTAAAATTTATTTTATTTGGATTTGGGTTTAGGTTCTTAGTTATTGGAATGAAACTGGTAAAATAATGCTGCTAAATTAAGAAAAGAGATGTCTTATTTCATTCAGAAAAGAAACATAAGTTGAAATAATTTAGGGAAAAATGAGCAACTAAAATGGTTTAGTTTTTTGAAAGAGTGCATCTCTTTATTCATTGAGCTTAGTAGTAAAGAAGAGAAGCCAAGTGCTTGATGAAGCTCAAGTGTAGACCGGTTCTCTTCAAGGCCACCATAGTTAGTCAGGATACGCAGGAAAGTTTTTAACCAATTTTAAAAGAAACATGAAGTAATATGGTTGCTTTAACTTTTGGAATTTTCATGTTTGTGAAGGTCAAAGTCATAAATATCGTTTTTTAAAGTACTATTTCACAAGAAGTGTTAGCTTTCTAAGTCATCCTCAGTTAATGATCTCTCTCATCTGTCCCCTCTTTTCCATTTGAGCTGCTTTTTTTCTTGTCCATGGTGGACAAGAAAATTAGTTTTAATAGTGTATTCTTACTGGTTCCCTTGATGTTAATTCTCTCATATGCTAGTGGAAGAGTCTTCCATTCAAGAAATAAATAAAATCACATCATTCCTTTGCTCAAAAATCTTTGGTTCTTCAAATTGCCTATTCTTTGGTCCAGCAATCAACATCCTTTATGATTTGGCTCCCTCTTTCCTCATCTTTCATCACTCCTTCTCACCCACAAACTAGGAGGTCTAGCCACAACCACTCAGTGTTCATAAAGCATGGCCTGAACTCCCCCACATCAGTGCCTCTGTTCAAATGGCTTCTATCTTCTTTCAAATCTCAATCTTTGTCTATTAGAATTTTACTCATTCTTCAGGGTTCAGAACAAGTAAGTCTTCTAACTGGAACTGATTTCTCCTCCTTTCTGCCAGTCTCTACTGAAATCTATTTATGTATAAACAATGCCTCATCTCATCTATTTTAATATAAACTCCTTTAAGGTTGTCTCTGTAACTTCTACTAAGCCTAGCTCCATATGAAGTAAAACAAAAAGATAGATACAAATGGGAAAGTAGTTTCTCAAAAGTTGCATCTGTTTGTTTATTCATGTGGTCATTCAATCACTCCAGTAACCTCAAGCCCAGGCACTAAGCACTGATAACATAAAGGCAGTAAGACAAGGTTTTTACCCTCAGGAAAAAGCTTAGAGTATAGAGAGAGACCTATAAACCAATTACAATACACTACTTTGATACCTTCTATGGTAACAGAAAAAAAATATTATACCAAGAATTTGAAAAGGACAAATCCAGGATGATTCCCACGTTTCCATCATGTGAAGACATAGATGGTGGCACCCTATCCTGATATAAGGTACAAGATGTACTCAGTTAAGCACATAGTATGAGGCAGACACTATTCTGGGAAACCTGGGGTGTCATCCATAACACTCCCTTCTCGCTCACACAACCCTTATATACAAAGTAAGTACATCACTAAGTATTACCCATTTGACTGCCTACCAGTCTCTCAAATCTGACCCTCTCTCAAGTCTGACAAATCTCTACCTCTCCACCTGTACCATCTCAGTCCAAATTTCTCCCCTGGGCTACAGATACAGCTTTCGGACTGGTTTCCCTGCATCTGCTCATGTTTACCTCCAATCCAATCTCTACACTGAGACCAGAATAAGCTCTTAAAAATATAAATCATGTTACTCCCTCATTTAAAATTCTTTAATAGATTCCTGGTGCTCTTAGGATTAAAAACAAGTGTCGTGTAACATGGTCAAGAAGCAAGATTAGGGGAACCTGTTTCCATCTCTGGACTCAACTTGTGCTTTCTCCTTTTGCTCACTCATCTCTAGTCATATTGGCCTTCTTTCTGTTTCTTGATCTCACTTTATTTTCTCTTGCCACAGGACCATTACACAAGCTATTCCCTCTCCCTGAAATGTTCCTCCCTTTCTTTTTGCCTACTTAACTCTTACTCAGCCTTTGGTTTCAACTCAAAGGATACTGACTTAGGCAAACCTACCCTGACTCTCTAGACTAGATCAGATCTTCCCTGTTTATAGGTGCTTATAACTCTGTATCTTTAACGTCATAGCATTCTCATGGTTTATAATTATATATTTATATGGAAATTCACTCAGAGATTCTGACAGACAGGGAAAACCAAGGAAAGGTAATGGCAGAGCTAATTAAGTAGGCTCTGGAATCAACTGCTGGATTCAAATCTTGTCTCCAACACTAACTAGCAATATACTTTATGTTTACTGTGTGCTTCAGTTTTGTCATTTACAATATTGGGTTAACAACAGTATCTACCTTAAAAGGTAGTTGTGGGAATTTAATGAGATAATATGTGTAAATAGGTTAGAAGAATGCCTAGCATATTTATATACTCATTGTTACATATCATCATTAGTGTTTTGATTGATAATGACTGTTCGAAATTCTGAAGACCCAAAAGTGTACCTAGAAGCATTTTTGATGATTTTTTAATAGAGAAGTAAGTTTAAAAGAAGTTAACCTCAGGATGCAAATGAACTTCAACTGTTTTAATATCCATTTATCAAAAGCTAGAATAAAAACAACCAGTTAAGAGAACTATACCATAAAGTCTTGGTTTTGTTTTGTTTTGTTTTTGCTGAGGAAGATTCACACTGTGGTAACATCTGTGCCAATCTTCCTCTACTTTTTTAGTACGTGAGCCACCAGCACAGCATGGCCACTAACAGAGAGGTGTGGGTCCACGCCCAAGAACTGAACCCAGGCTACCAAAGTGGAGTGTGCTGAACTTAACCACTAGGCCACTGGGGTTGGCCCTAATTCTTGGGATTTTAAATTTATACCAGAATATATATTGATTAAAAGATAGAGAGAATGACAGTATCTTGCTTTTACTTTTTCCCCATAATATAGTTGCTTGATTGATTTAAAATAGTGAATTAAATGAGAACTTCAAGTTCGTTTTATCCTTTCTTAACTCTGACCCCCAACTGATATTATCATTCCTGCCATTTCTGTATGTTTCTAGTCTTTCCAATTATATCAAAACTTTCTATGAAGGCAAAGAATATGTTTTTTATTTATTTATCAGTCTCATAAGTACTTTACATAGCATATGCATTGAAATATTAGTTTTTATATTCTATTTGTTTGACAACTGATAATCCATTTATAGTATACTTGATAATACACCTTCTAGTAACCAAAATATATATTTAATTGGAGCCTTTAATTTATGACTTATGTTGGATAACAGAATCAGTTTTAGTTCTCAGTAATATGATAAAAAATTATATTATTTAAATAATGATATATAAAGGAATAACATGAAATCATTAAATATGAGAATCTATTTTTATAGGACATGGAAAGATACTTATGATATAATGTCAAGTTAAAAAAAAGACAACAAAGTTGCACATACAGAATTGAGTCTCTTAAAAAACTGTCTATACACGTTTATGCACATGGAAAAATGATGGAAATATACATAAAAATGTTAACAATAGTATTTTCATTTTCTTTGATATCAAATATGTTTTATAGAAAAATAGCAAATCTAATTCCATTAAAAAAATAATGGAGAAGCAAATTCAGCTAAGCTTTTAAATGAAATTTAAAAATTTGATGTGAATACTTACTTTACAACTTTGCCATACTTGGAAAATATCTGAAACAGAAGACCACATAATAATTTACAATTTAATTTAAAATCATAAAAAAATTAAATTTTCAGGTTATACACTGACCACATTCTTTGTTGGTTTATGAAAAATTTTAACCTTTAAGCTATAAGGCAGGCCCTAAAAGATGTATTTTTTTAGTGACTAGAGTAATATTCTTATTTTTGTCATTGGAGTCACAGGTATCTGCCTCAGTTCCTAAATGTCTGACAAAAGAGTGCATACAGAGGAAAAAACCCACTTTATAGGTGTGGTAGAGTGAAGGTACCCACATTGCACAAATGCTGTGTTCCTGTGGTATATCCTGGTAACCATCAACCTCACCACAGCTCCAGAGAAACCTTGTGCTTCAGATGTTAATATAGTGGAATATCACTATTCCGAGCCTATCCCCACCCCATCAAGCAATTACTGTTTCAGAAGACAGGTCCTTAGACCACTTATAAAACAAAAAAGCTTCTATAATGAAAAACCCATTCCAACTGGTCTCTTTCTTCTGCCCACCCTTAATATGTTGGTGGAACTTTATAGTTGGCCCTTTCTTCACTTGTACTTCAACATCTCATCTATTTCTATTGTTTCAGCCTCCAACTATATACTAATAGTTCTTATTTATTATGTAATACTTCTTAGAAACGTCTTTTAGCATACATTAATATATGCAATCAACACGAATAAATTTTTGAGGTCTGTGATTAAGTTGTGTAATGCTAGGATATAGTATAACTGGATTGCAGTGTTAGCAACACTGAATTCTGAAGACTAATACAGATAGTTTTCTGTATAACACTTTCTAAACGCTTCTCATTTCACTCAGAGTCCTAACCATTCTCTATGTAGGCCCTATAAGGCACCCCTGTATGGGCTTACCTCTGACTGCCCCTCCTCTTCTCTCCACTTGATTGACTGTGCCTGAAATGCTTGTCCCCTAGGCATCTGCATGGCTGCCTCTCACTTCCTTCAGGTCTTTATCCAAAAGTCACCTTCTTAATAAAGATTTATACCACCCATGTAAAATTTCACCTCCATTCCCAAGCTAACATTTAATAGTCCTCCTTTCCTGCTTTATTTTTTCTCTTTAGCACCTAACATCTTAACATTAACTTAGCACTTAAATTTTTATATTTCACATTGTTTCTCTATCTTGCTATATTGTTAGTGTCAAGAGGGATTTTCATCTTTTTGTTCACTGATGTATTCCTAGTACATGTAAGAGTGCTCAGCATATAGTAAGCTTTCAACCAACACAGAAATGTCTCTATTTTGATACAAGGAAGAAAGCTAACGTTTATTTTCTCCTCTGTTCTTTGAGACTCAAGCTATCTTAGCTAAGTAATTAATCAAGTATTATGTAGCACCTATGCAGCATCTCTCTACTTAAAGTCTACCCAAAATATGGAGAGAAGAGGTCACACTTGAATGAAAGGATTCACGTCATTCTTTCCATTGCCTTTCAACCACCCATCTGCAGGACAGGCACAGGAAATTTTGTTCTCTGTAAGGTAAAGAGGTGAAAAAAGACGCTGGAAGGGTTTTTTCTCTCCCTCAGTCACCTCTATCCTGAATTGATTTATTAACAAAATTTATGAAACTGTTAAGTTTCTGCCACATACGTAAATTAAGACATACTTTCAGAATTTGAGGGTTAGAAAAGGGATCTGTTTGCTTCGATCAGCCCTTTCCTCCAAAACCTCCACCCTACTACCAGTGTCAGAAGCCAAGTAAGCGAGCAGGGAACATTAGCGTATCACAAGTTGCTCCCACTTCATTATGCTAGCTATGTCTTCCGTGTGTATAAAGAACTTGTTACTCTCTATAAAAGCACTGCAAATTCTCTTTGGAAATTAAAGTGTCTAATTTTTTTCACTTACATTTGCAATAGAGGTCTTTGGTATTGGTGGTTCAAGTGCCTTGTAAGGTACTTATTAAGAATTCTGCTAAGGAGAAATGCTTGCTTCAGCTAAATATGTATCTCAAATAGACAATTCAGTAGATAACCATACTAAAATTTACTTACCCGGTATAAGTCATTGTTGGTCAAGGAAAAGGGCAAGTTGGATACATACACTGTGCTTTTACTTGGGGCCAATCCGCCACTCATTTCTAAAAAGGAAAATAAACCCAGAGGCAATTTAAACCAGACATTCTTCATTCCAAGTAAAACCAATATAGGCAATCACTGATTTAATTATGCCAGATTTATACACCTTCCTTACTTCTTAGTAATAGATAGGAACAATGACTCCAGCTAGATGAATTAAGAAATTCCTCTTCTCCAGACACCATTTAGGTATTTTCTGGTTCTTCTTTCAAGCAGATTATTTACATTAACCCTTTCAGATGGAGGAAAAATTCTGAGGTTACTCTTAACCTCCCCTCAGGCTAAGAGCAAGAAAGTGCTTTCAAATAAACATGATAGCTTACCTACCCACATCAGAAAGAGCCCGGGAGCTCAGAAAGAACCTTAGCCATTGATTTTTCACTAATACTATGGGTGGGTACCTTTTTGGTTGTCTTAATATTTTTCTCTGGTGTGGTGTTAAGAGGAAATTTTAGCGTCACATTTTGATGATGCAAATAAAGTTCTTTCGAATCACTAACTTAGCATATTATTGCCAAATCATGAAATGATACGTTTTGTTATATGAATGTTTCAGTGCCTTGAAGGACACTGACCTGTACATGTATTTTTAAGTTTACAAATATAATCTGTATTGAATTTTCATACCCTATTTTACGAAGTCAGCAAATTATCTGTGAAAATTATAGGGACTCAACCAAGTTCGAGTTTTCGATTTCAAAAGCGTGTGCGGGGTGTATTTAAGATAGGAGGATGGACTATCACAAATGGCAAAATATTGATTCTAAGGCGTACCATCTCGCCAAGTAATGGGAAAACTGGTTGACGCTTGGGAGGATTTTTTTGGGGAATTATTTAGACAACTTCAGAAACACAACATCAATAGGTTGCTTTTTAAAAGTTTCCCATTCGACACTCTTTACACGTTAGCCGTTCTGGTAAGATCTGCGAGGGCAGGCAAAGGTAATGGTCCTGGAATAAAAAGGGTGGAGGGAGAGAGGGGCAAACCTCTTTGCGGCAGGGGCTGGGGAGCGACCCGCAGGGAGAAAGGCCGCATCTAAGGGGCGGTTACCTTCTAATGGGGCGGGCCCGGGAGACCAGAAGAGCGCGAGCCCTCGGCTCAGTTGGGGCTCAACCCCGACTCTCGCTCGCCCCTCGCAGCGGCCTTGGCATCACCGGTGCCGGGATGGGTCAGGCGCCAGAGACGAGAAAGCATCAGCGGCAGCAGCGCCACTTCCCGGCTCTCGTTAGACCCGGGCCCCGGAGGCGGGCCCAGAGGCGGGCGCTTTTGCTGACGTCTTTGCGCGCGCCGGAAGTGCCTGCCTGACAGAGCGGCGACGAGGGGACGACTGCGTTTGCGGGATCTCCCGGCGGCCCAGAGTCGGTGAGCGCGTTTTAGCTTTCCAGGAGGAGAACGGGGACAGGCGCGAGGGCTGCGACACCCGGGGGAGCGGGCGTGCGGGCGGGCGTTTTCCGTGGCGGGACCTGGAGGCTTCCGCTGCATTTGAATCGTGCAACAATTCTGCCCCTGCGGTTGAGGGTGGATAGACGCAGTGGAGTTTGGAATAAAGGAAACTATTGAGTCTGAGATACAGGTTTCGCTTCTCTTTAGCGACTTAATATGCAAAAAGAGGACTAAACTAGGGAATTTCAATGACCCGAGATCAGTTAGGAAGTCAGTAAATTTACTGAATGTTTTCGACGTACCCAGTTCGGTATTAGGCACTTTGAGAGCTACAAAAAAGTGAAAGCAGGCCTTTTTCTGGCGGATGTCTCAGTCTAGTTGGGGAGACAAGGTCAATCTGAGGAGACTTGGATTCACAGAACGACTCATCTTGGTATTGGTATGGACAGATGTTGAACTTCTTGGCACCTTTTTCCTTCCTGTAAATCTATAATGGGCACACACTGCTTTTTCTCTAAGAGGCTGTAAACAGGCCTATCATTCCTACAGAAAAATCAGAAAATAATGCAAGGTAGTTTATACTTAACTTCTACCCACCAGCACACACAGACCAGGCCTCTAACCACTCCCTGGGAGCCTGCGTGCCAGCAGCCTGAAACCCAGAGCCTCTCCCGGAGCCTGCACAATCAATCCAGACTGAAGCCGATGTCTTCTAGAGAGACGGACGTGCAATCCAGCCAGGGCGCAGCTGCATTTTGAGAGGCCTGAATGCCTCCGCGTACACCAGGGGACCGCTGGGACTAATTCTCTTGGCAAACTTGTGGCCAGCCAAAACTGCCATGCTTCACATCCCAGTTATCCTTGGTTACCGCCCAAGATGTAAGCCCCTTTGGTCTTCTATGCTACACCCTTGTCGCCATGCTGCTCTGTGCTTCGTCTCCCTGGATTTGGGCTATCACTGTTTCTCCCTCCTTTTCTTCCACATTTCACCTCTCAACACAACAGCTGTGCTCTCTGAAACCTCCATTCCCCACTTAACAAACTCTTTTACATATTCAACTTCTTTACGGTAATTCCCCTTCATCTCTTAACGCTAACTAATACTTGGCTTTTTCCTCCAGCCCTTTCTCTGACACCTGCATTTAAGGTTGGGTCATGGCTCTCGCGGTACTGAATTGATTTCACTTCCTCAAAAATACTTTTTTCTCCCCTCAGGGTCTTTGCAAAGTTTCTTTTCTCTGCAGCATTTGATGTCTCTGAGTCCTCCTCTACCTCTTTCTGGATAATTCCTGCACCTGCTAAAGATCTCAGTTTAGCTGTCACTTTCTCTGAGGGGTATTCCCTCATTTCCCAGAGACAGAGTTAGGTATCCTTGCTGTGTGCTATGAAGTGCCCTCTACTTCCCTCATCATGGCACTTGTCACATGTATCCTAATTGCTTATCTCTGCCTTTCCTACTAAAGTAGCTAAGCAGGAGGAAGTGCGTTTGTCTTGTAATCCCAGTGCCTAATGGGCAGTTAGGTAGATCTTCAGTGATTGCAATTGCTGCAGGTACAGCTCAGAAGTCAGGCAGTTGACATGTCATCTCCAGACTTTAAAATGAAAGAACTTTTTGAAAGGAGTCAGCTGCTACTCAGCTACAGCTGATCGCGGCCAGGTGAGGAGATGATTCCAGTGTGGCCAGAGCATCCAGTTTTTTCAAGAAAAGTTGGAAATACAGTTTTTTAAAGTGATATCTCTCAGTTTTTAACTGTTTTCAGTGGGATAAAATTTTATTTTAAAAAAAAACAAAACTGGACCAAACACAAGATACATGTGGCCAGTTTGGAATTTGTTGTAAGTGTCGTAGGGTTCAGGAATGGGTTTTGTGGAGAAGGCTAGATCTTGAGTTGGGCCTTGGTGGAGGGTTAGAAGTTGAATGAAAGAATGGAAAGAGGTATTCCAGTTTGGGAAATGAGTCCAACAACTCCAGGGTACTGTGTGTTACTTTGTGGCACAGTGAGGCGGGTGGCATGAATGATCCTTTTGGAGCGAACACGTGGTTAGGTGAGATGATAGAAGGGGGCACATGGAGAGCAGAGAAGTTTGGATTTGTTACAGTTAATTAATAAGAAACTATTTGGATTCTTAGGAGCCTTCAGATATGAATGATGTATCAGCAGTGTTAATTTAGTATCCTTTTTTAAGGCTATAACCTCCATCCAGATGTGAAGTGAGATTGAGATTTGTAAATATTATACCTAGGCAAACATCTGATATTTTTGTCCACTTGTGTAATTTGTTACTTGATCACTTATACAGTGAACATTCAAGAATCTCCTGCTACGTATTATTAAAGAAAAATTCAACCAAGTGAATTTAAAGACCTAATTGGCTTTATTTAGTGATTCATGAATAGGGCAGCATCCCATCTAGCAAGAAGAAAGGAACTCCAAGGAGTTGTCCAAAAGGAAGGTTTTTATAGGCGAAAAGAGATTGGGACAAAGAAGTTAAAAGAGTGGATTATTTCAGGTAAGGTCACTTTCTCTTTGGGGAAGGCAGGGGGTCTTATCAGCCACGTTACCTCACTAGTTTTGATCAGGAAATTCCAGACTGATTGGTTCAAAATTTCACTCGTGGGAGAGGCTGAATTTGCAGTTAGGTTAGGCATTAAGTCTTGGTGGGGCTTAGGTTAGGTATTAAGTCTTGGGGCGGGGGGGGGTGGGTGCTTAGGATAAGTGACTCCATTTTTGAGCCTGCTCTTTCTTTCTTTCTTTCTTTTGGTGAGGAAGATTGGCTCTGAGCTAACATCCATCCCAGTCTTCCTCTATTTTGGGATGCCACCACGCCATGGCTTGATGAGCAGTGTGTAGGTCTGTGCCTGGGATCTGAACCCACAAAGCCCGGGCCACTGAAGCGGAGTGCACAAACTTCACCACTACGCCATGGGGCTGGCCCCAGAGCCTGTTGTTTCTTTTTTAACAGTATTTAATACAGTATAGTGGGTCTTATGTAAAAAGTATCCTTGAACCAGCACTGATAGCCTAGTGGTTAAAGTTTGGCACACTCCACTTCATCAACCTAGGTTTGGTTCCTGGGCATGGAACCACACCACTTGTCTGTCAGTAGCCATGCTGTGGTGGTGGCTCACATAGAAGAACTAGGAAGACTTAACTAGAATATACGACTATGTACTGGGGCTTTGGGGAGGGGAAAAAAGAGAGAGAGAGGAAGATTGGCAACAGATGTTAGCTCAGGGCAAATCTTTCCCAGAAAAAAAAAAAAGAAATTAGGGAAATCTTAAAGAAAAACTATCCTTAAAACGTTGAAAAGTCAAGTAACTTGTGAAACTAGTAGAGAACGCAGTACTTTAAAGTACTAAGTTACATGGTTCATAATGAAGCAGTCAGTGGTCTCCTTTCCTCTGGTCTCTTTCTTCTTTAATCCATTTTGTATACTGCCAGGTTTATCTTCTGGAGTGACGTTTTTTCCCTCACCTTATTTCTAGGCTTAAAAGCCTGCAGTGAGCTCCTCCTCTGGTTTTTTGCTTTGTTGTACCATTTAATGCCCTTGAATTTGTTCTCTCCGTCCTTGCCTGTTTCCTTTGTGAAGCATTGTGCGATGATGGAAAGGGCTTGGGCTTTAAAGTCATGCAGGCCTGAGTCTGATTCCCAGGCTCCGTTTGCCTCTGTGCTTTGAGCTTTTCAGAGCCTCCATGTTTTATCTGGAGTGGGAGAGGTAATATCTCCTTCAGGGAAGGAAATGAAAGCTTGTTGAATACCGTTGCAGGCTTATTTCCCACTCCTTTGCAATGCAGATCTTCTCTTTTGCTCAGTTCCATCCTTCTCGTGTATACATATATAGTTTTCATTCTTTATTTTTATTTTATTCTCTTTTTTTTTTGAGGAAGATTAGCCCTGAGCTAACTGCTGCCAATCCTCCTCTTTTTGCTGAGGAAGCCTGGCCCTGAGCTTACGTCCATGCCCATCTTCCTCTACTTCATATGTGGGACGCCTACCACAGACTGGTGTGCCAAGCGGTACCATGTCCACAGCCGGGATCCGAACTGGCGAACCCTCGGCTGCCCAGAGGTGGAATGTGCAACTTAACCACTGCACCACTGGGCCGGCCCCATTCATGTATGTTTTTTCTTCTCTAATTCTTTTCCCTTCTTTTAGATTCTACTGTTCACTACTCATCCACATTTGAGCAATCTCTCAAGTTTCTATTTAAATTTTCTTGGCTTCCTTTCTTTTTTTTTTTTTGAGGAAGATTAGCCCTGAGTTAACATCTGCTGCCAATTCTCCTCTTTTTGCTCAGGAAGACAAGCTAACATCCATGCCCATCTTCCTCTACTTTATGTGTGGGATGCCTACAACAGCATGGCTTACCCAGTGGTGCCGTGTTGGGCCCCCAGGATCCGAACCTGTGAACCCTGGGCCGCCGAAGCGGAACATGCAAACTTAACCCCTTTAACCCCTGCACCAGCAGGCCAGTCCCTTGTTGGCTTTCTTAACTGTTGTTGCCTGCATTTATCTCTTCCTGAGCACTGAACAGTGGTTAATTCTAGGAGACACTTTGCTCTATTTTGACCATTTTAATTGGCATCAGTGTTAGGTTTTTTTTTTTCACAGACCCTAACTAATTATGTTCTAGAATTCATTTTTAATTTAGTTGTCTAGAATTTTAGACACTTTCCAATAGAAATAGTATTATGTAGTTTCTAGATTCAGGTCAGTCCTTAAAAGCTTCTTGTTTCAATTTAGGATGTCAGGAGTATGTTTACCTTGCTTTAGATCAGTGGATCTCATCCTGAGATGAGTTTCAGATTTTAAAAAAGTGTCGGGGTCCCATTCCAGGCCAATTATACAGGGATTTCAGAGGATAGGGCCTAGGCTTTGATATTTTTTAAAAGCTCTTTGGGTGATTCTAATGTGCAGCCACGGTTGAGAATCACTGCTTTAGGTAGTAGAGAAAGGATTCTCGTTGGTAAACTTTTGCTCAAAAATCAAGTGGCAGTAGTGTCATAAGTAGTGTGACAGGAGCCATAATCTAATAGTGCTCATTGAAAGTTTTCTGAATAATTGAAAGGTACAAACTAATATTTAGATTCCCCAGAATGGTGCATGTGGCGATTGTATGAATAACATGTTTATTTATTTGGCCAATATAAGTGCCTTTACTCTGCTAAGCAACAAGAGTAAGAGAGGTACACAGTCATTGCCTCTGCAGTGGTGTTTAGTTTGGGAGGGAAAAGAGGAAGAAAAGTAAATTGAATATGGGGTTATATAGTACTATTACAGCAAGGTGCTTTAAGAGGCCCAAAGAAGGAACAACTTTATTCTTTCTGGAGAATATCAGAAAAGCTGACATTTGAGCTGAATCCTGAAGGAAGAGTAGATGGTGAAGGCAGATAAGTAGAAGAAAGATATTCTAGGCAGAAGAAAAGCATGCTAGGGTGTGGTGGTGAGAAATAGTGGCACACTTGCAGAACAGTAAATAGTTTGACATATATGGAGGTTCTGGAGACTGTTGGGGAAGTGGTAGGAGGTGAAGCTGCAAAGGTAGGAGCAAGGTCATAAGTAAGCCTTTTTCTTTAGGATGTGGGGAACCACTGAGATTTTTAAATCAGGTGTCTTATCAGAATGAACACTGGCTACAGTTTGCAGGGTGGGGAGAAGCAGGGAGATCAGTGTTTTATTGTGGGGGAATCCACTGGCTAGATTAAGAGCATCTGAACAGAGACGTTGGCAGCAGGGATAGGAAAGTGTAGATACATGTGCTTTATATATTGAGGTGATAGAAATAGCTGGATTTAGTGAATACTAGGTAGATATGAAAAGTTTTGGGTTTTGCATGACTCTGGTTTCTGGTTTGTGCCTTTGGGTAGCTGGTGGTGTCATTGACCAAAATGAGGAAGACAGGAGAAGAAGCAGATTTCTGAGAAGTTTGAAGAACTGTTTTGACATGTTGAGTTGGAGGTGTCTGTGAGACATCCTCTTGAAAGGAGTCAGGATGGCAGTGGAGATGTGGGAATCATTTATCTAGAGGGAGCATATTTCCAGGATTAATTAACTCACTCCATGAATATTGAGAATATAAGTTGTGCACATTGTTCTAGGTGCTTAATAATATTAATCTACAAACAACATAGAAATTCCTGCATTCGTATAGTTCATATTTCTAGCAGTGAGGGACCAATAATATGCATCAAATGTAAATTATATAGTCTCTTAGGTGATTAGTGCTATGAAGAAAATAGCAAGATTAGGGAGATCTGGTAGATAGGTGACATTAAGAGGCCATTAAGAAGGTGACATTGAAGGGTGAAGAAGTTAACCATGCAGATAGATACCTGGAGAAAAGCATTCTAGGTGGGGAATTGCCAGTGCCATGACCTATTGCTCATCTAGGGTATGAGGTCAGATGTGACCTTTCTATTCAATAACCGTGGTTGGCTATCAAAATAGTTATTGAAAGAATGTAAAGAGTGAAAGGAATGAGTTTGAGAAGGAGGGAAAGCTATTTATCACAGTGTGCAGAGTTACTCTGTAGCCTAAGCTGTTCCTATAACCGGTTTGGATAAAATGAATGATCTTTCTTTCTCACCTTGCCTGTGGATTCAGAGTGTGAGTGGTTTGACGGAAGGATATTGCCTGTGACTTTGTTTTCTCAATTTGCAGGCTGTTCTCACTGAGTATTCAAGTCCTCCCTGTAGCCTCTTAGCTCTCAATTGGGGTTACCAGAACAGTGGTTGGGTACCCTAATGGAGTGCTCTATGAAAGCCTTATTTCTTTCTGGAATTGAATATACCATGATGGTATATTAAACAAACTCTCTTTATTGAATATGGCATAAGAGAATGAGATTTTTATACTTTAAAAGTAGTTATTAGCAAACTTCTAAATGAGGCTTACATTCTTCACGCTGAATCCTAATTCAATTAGGATTCTCTGCCTAATTGTGATTTTCCAGTCTTCTTCTTCAGTTTTCATATTCTGTTGGATCTGAGAACTTTACTGGAGTTCTTCTGAGATTCCACTGATGGGAGGAGATTAGTGAAATGATGATGCCTGAAAGTAACATAATCATTTCACTGTGAATCAGAGCACCTTTGTTTAAATTTAGCTGATTGGCTTCTGGTTGTGGGATGGGTCAATTTCCTAAATTGGGATAATGTCATAAACAACATGTGCTGCTAAACAAAAAGTTGTTGTACTCATCAGCTATTTTAAAATCCTTTGAAAATTACAAGGTGCTATTTGAATTTAAGGTGATATTGGAATAGTCTCTTCCCTAGTTGCCCTAGAGTACCTTCATTATCATCTCATCCTCCTCTAATACCTTTGCCCTTTTCTGTTGTCTTAATTCAAGTTCCAGCTTAAGACCCATCTTCTTTACAGCCCAATATTCTTTCTTTTCTTTTATACTTTATCATTAATCTGTCTTTGATTTTGTTTTCCTAACAGTACAAGGTTGCATATGGAATCTTCTATTTATTTTCTTGCCTTCCCCAATTATATAGGTTTCTTAAGGATGAAAGAAGTTTAATAATTGGACATGGGCCTCACCAGTGCTATTTGACTTTTTGGGGTGTTTTGTACTAATGGGTGCTAATTGTTTTGCTACATCAAACTCTATTTAATTTTACCATTATATTATGTTCTTTTATATTCTTTATTCTGAAAATATATAGTAATTTACATAACAATAAAGCATTATATTCTGATATGCTGTTTTCTAAAAGCAATATAGGTATAGTGAGAGTACATTTAAAAACTACCTGCAGATTCTGTAAAGATAGTAATATTTTAGTATACTCACCAGTAAGATATAACTTAAAAAAATGAAATAATTGATTATAGGTGATTACTTTATAGCCTGTCTGTATTTAATCACCATATTATAGACATGTAAGCAATTTATTATTATTTGTAAACTAATTTTATTAAATTATTCAGATACGTACGGTAATTAAAATTTTTAATTAAGATCGTTAAAAATTGTCAGCTTTTTGAAGTAAAGAGAATTTATTTACTTTATTTACTAAACATTTCTACTTGAAACTGATTTCTGTAGCTCCCTGTAAGATGAATACTCTATTGGGGCATCCTCAGGTATGGAGTCAAATATACAAAACAGTTACAGGATTAACTGTAGGAGTTGAAATTGTGGTAACAGTAGTGCAGTGTCTAGCTGTTTCATGGATGCTGTTTGTTTCTAGTAGAAATTAAGTTCTATATACAGATTGATGCCTTGCAGAAGTGATTGTTACATTCAACAAATTCACTTGGGGGTTTGATGCCGGCTAAATTCACATTTCTTTTAAAAAATTTTTTATTGTGGTAAAATATACGTAAAATTTACCATTTTAACCATTTTTAATTGTGCAACTCAGTGGTATTAAGTACATCACATTGTTGTGCAACCATCACCACCATCCAACACTTTTCATCTTCCCAAACTTAAACCAGACAACTTTTAAATGATAACTCTCTATCAGATAAATTTACTTTTATTTAGATTTTTTTTTCTGCTTCCATTTCTTGAGGCATCTCTGGATTTTAGCTCTTTGATTCATTTGTTCATAGTTAGCTCTTCCAGAAAAGAATTTAGTTGGTCTCTTGTCTCTTGATGATGTATATTCTAGACAATCCTCTTTTGAATTCCTACATGGTTATATTTCTGTTTTTTGCCTCGTTCTAGTTGCTTTGTTTCCAGTTGCTAGGTTTTCATCCAAGTTATATACTTTTACTTTTTTGCTGCCTTTTTTTTTTAGCTTCTATAAATTGTGGATTGAATAATTAAAGTAGAAGTACTTTGAGGTAATTGCAATAAAATTCTGTCATTTGTCTTCCAAACTATCAGGCTGAAAAAGGCAACTAGATCAGGAGTGACCTCTAAATTTAAGACTATGCACACAGTCTCATTTCTGCACTCAGCAAGTAAGACACTTCACAAGGTCTCTGTGCAGCAATTAGGTGAGCCTGATCTTTCTAGTGGAGCCACTCCTTTATCCTTTGCATTTCATGTGAAGTGGTAGGTAGAACCACAGGCTTGAGTAGATTTAGATTCACTTTTTTTTTTTTTGAAGGTAAGAACATTTCATAGATTTACAGTTTTCATCATGAACCACACATTGCCCGTTTTTTTGTTTGTTTGTTTCCTGTTACTTAAGCTTGTTCAGTGTACTTTATTTTGGGGGAAAGTCATTAAAAAGTTCTCCATCAAATTTTTACTTAGTAAGTTTAGTATTCTTTGATGAGTTGATGATTGTTGCCTTGATTTTGGGATTACTTTTAAACATGGGACCATTTATTACCAATATTAAAACTATAAAGATTTCCAGACTAAGGATGGCAGGTTTTTTTTTTTTAATATGTGAGATCTTTTAAAGCCAGTTTTCTTAATATTCTAGATTAAAATGACTTTAAACATCTAGTGCAGTCTCTTTAGAGATAAGGATAAGAGAAATGCCTTGCCCAGCTCTCAACTGGTAAAATTAGGACTAGAATTCTCATAATTTTGTTGTTTTTATGAAACTTGGGTGGCCTCTGGTGGTCAAAATAATATCTTCTATTTTCAATGGTGTGTTTGAAGGGAGTTTGGCTTATTAATACCCATAATTTTTTATTTTGAGAGTTTTATTTATACAAATAATGAAGGTTTAATTATCTTTTTCCTTTGGTTGGTTTATACAGACACAAATCCTTATGTCTGTATTTTTCCCCCTCTCCCACAGGAGATTGTTGAAAACTTTATATTTGATTCCTGAAAGGACTCAAGTAAGTAGTATAGTAGTTATTCTTACATTTTTTTTGTGAGAAGCCATTAAATTTCGATATTTTAGTGTTATATCTAGTTAAGAAACTATAAAGTATTTCTATAGAGCGCTTGTAATTTTTCTCATTAATTACAAAATCTTATTTTTGCTTATGTTCTACTTTAGTTTATTAATTTATAGTCATAATTTTTGCTATCACTTGACACGTTATGCTTATTGAATGATTTTCAGGACCTTTAAAAACAGTTAATTATTTTTATAATAGATAATAGGATGTATAAAACATTATGTAGTGACAGTACTCACCCTCTGTACCCCAACCTTCCAGTGTGCTCCCCAGAGGTGGGCACTGGTACACGCTCTTGCTTATATTTCCAGTCTGTGCATATGCATATATACTCATATCTTGCCTTTTTTCCGAAAGTGGCAGCATATTCTACATATTAATCTGCCCTTTACTCTTTTTTACTTAGCAATGTATCTTGTCAATCTTTCTGTATTGTTATGTATGGCTTTACTCTTTTGAAATGGTTTGGGTAATATTTCTCTAGATGAATGTACATGCTTTATTTAATCTGTACCCTCCTGATGGGCATTATAGGTAGCTTTCAGTCTTTCCTCTGCACATGTACAAGTATACATAGAAGAAGAATTACCAGGTTAAAGCATATGTGCATTTAACATTTTTAATAGATGTTGCCAAATTGTTCCCAGTCTGTACCAAATTATACTTCCTTCATTAATGTATGAGAGTTGCTGTACTTACTCTCATCAAAGCAGTTTGATTTTTGCAGAGCTTTGGGTGGAAATTAGTACTCCATTATACTATGTTTTTCTTTTTTGCTCAGGAAGATTATCTCTGAGCTAACATCTGTTGCCAATCTTCGTCTTTTTTTTGCTTGGGGAACATTAGCCCTGAACTAACATCTGTGCCAGTCTTCCTCATTTTATACATGGGTTGCCACCACAGCATGGCTGATGAGTGGTGTAGATCTGTGCCTGGGATCCAAATGCGCAAACTGAGGCCACTGAAGTGGAGCGTGCTAAACTTAACCACTAGGGCACGGGGCTGGCCCTGCTCTTTTTGTATGTGAGTTGCTGCCACAGCCTGGCCACTGGGAGCTGAACCTGGGCCACTGAAGCAGAGTGCGCTGAACTCAACCACTAGGCCACTGGGGCTGGCCCACTTTTAGTTTTTATCTTCTTTATTTTGAAGAAAGTTCAGCATCTTTTCAAAAGATTGAGCCACTGTATTTCTTTTTTTGTGAACTGTCTTCATATTATATGTCCATTTGTCTTTGGAGTTGTTCATTTTCTCCTGTGATTTGATTTCTATTTGTTGCTGTTACTATCTCTCTGTACTGTATCTTAAGTAGGATAAAAATCGAACTCATTCTTTAGACTGAAACCTTTGGTTCCTTTGGTAAAGGTGGAAGAGAGGAATAACGTTGATAATTTCTTTTCCTTTCAAGCTTCCATCAGTTCTTGTACCTAAAAGACTGGTTACTTTGAAATAACATTGTTAATGATGTCTAATGGAAGACTTAGAATTCACGTTGATTTATGCATAACATTAAAAGCTAATTTGTAACTTAAAGAAGTTATGGTTTCTCTAGGCATCTTTGGTTAGTTAGTTCATTTTATTGGATCTTTTTGTATTAGAAAATATTGTAGGCTTGTTTTTACAGAGAAAATTAAGAGTGTTTGTACTATGATATGTCAAAAAATATTGCTCTTTTCTTCCAGCCTTTGCATTTTCTTTAGCCTAAACTGACCTAAACTGTTAGTATTCTGTACTGCCAAAATGGGATGTCCATCCCCTTTTTCCCTTTTCAGTATTGCATCATGAAGAGCTGCCAGAAATCTTTTGATGTATACCTTCTCTGAAATGTTTTTCTTCTTCACAATATGTGGACTATGCATCTGGACTTGTGACCCTATTTTCTATGTACTAAAAGGCCCTAACTTAGTACCTGTCCCCTTTTCACTTCTTGCTCGTGATCATCCGCCTAAACTTCAGGATGGTTCACAATTCTTGGCTCAGAACCTGCTCCGTGATTACTTCACTCTCTTCTGGTTCTGCCCTGTTACCCATTTGTCATCTACTCCAGGGGTTGTTAGGCTCCTGCCTGTGGGCTGCCTGCTTGTTTCTAAAGAAAATTTTATTGGAACATGGCCACACCTGTACATTTATATATATTACCTATGGCAGCTTTTATTTATAATAGCAGAATTGAGTAGTTGTGACAAAGACCTGTGACCTGAGGGCCAAAAATATTTGTCTGGTTCTTTACAAAAAAGTTTACCAACCTCTGATCTGCTGTACCACCATTTCATATAAATGACCTTTAGGCTGTTTCCTGCACCCTATTCTCATCTTCTCTCCTGTTTGCCTTGCTTACCTTGTCTTCTGTCCATTCACAGACCTATTTTCATCTGGAGTCTAATACACTGCATTAGCCCCCTACCCAGAACACGTTGGCTCTCAGTCAAAGTAGGAAGCCTCTCTCTACATCCCAAATATGAAAAATGCTGACAGAACTTTTAATTTCAAATTTTATGAGAGTGTCTTTACATTAAAATAAATCTATAGCTTTATAAACAAAATCAAGAGTGGTTTGTTTCAGCTGGTTTGTTGTTGAGTGTGTTTTTATAGGATTGTTGAACACTTTTTTCGGTTAAAACCACTTCATTGAACATATATAGAGAAGATATAAGCTCTAAGAATGTAGAAAAGCAAAAAAGTAATATTATACAAATCATCTACCAGGAATAGGAGTAACATTGCTTATCAGCCTTTTCACCTATTCATTAAAATGAATATTTTCTAATTTTTACTATATGAGAATGAAAAAATATTTGTGGTCCTATGGCCCTTCCTTCCACAATTGAGGGGAAAAAGCTCTCTGAAGCTTTAAATAGCCTTGGAAATAGAAGGAAGGTGGGGCTTTCTACTATATATTTTTTAAAAGAAAATTTCAAAATTGTTTGGAAGAACTGCTTTAATCATTCTTTTTTCCTTTTGGTTGCTTATGTTTTTTTCCTTAAGTATCTGGAAAATCTTTGTGTTGGAAAGTAATTATTTACTCCTTTGTTATCTTCTCTATTACTTCCTAATAACATAAAACCCCTAATTCTTTGGTTTCTTTTTTATTCTTTAGTGGCTTACAGAAGAAATGAAATGTGGTCTGAGGGACGGTATGACTATGACAGACTTCCAAGAGAACGCGTACCTCCTCGAAGTCACCCCAGTGTAAGTTGCTCCTACATGTAGGATAATTCAAAACCTAGTGTCTAAGTGAATTTGGTACTCCAAAGCTAGGCCTCTTAAAATCTTCAAGTATCAAAAATTTGCCAGTCTAGTTTGAAATATAGATAGATGAAGCATGTCTTTTAAAAGTTAAAAGTTTGAAAATAAAAGGCAACATTTTATTTATGTAGAAAATCTGTATTTTATATTTCTTCCTTAAATTTCTAAAATGGAGGGTTTATATTGAATTTAATTTGTAAAGAAAACTTGAAGTTTGACAAAGGTCAGACCATCATTTAACAAAGAAGTATTTGAGCACGTGCTCTTACTATTGACTGTTACCTGTTTTTCTGTATTCCTAAAAATGTTTGCAAGTTGGATCTGTGAAATTCTAAGGGGCAGCTCGGGGCAGGCGGGCGGCTTCTGGTATTCTGTCCTACTGCTTGTCTCTTTGTTGCTTTGGGAAGTGGCAATTTTGAACCAGGTTCTCTTCTCAAGGAGCTTGCTGTTTTGCTTATTTTTGTATTCCCAGCACTATATCTAGTACCTGGCACATAGGAGGAGCTCAGTGGTTAATGAAAATCCTCTATAGAGACCCAAGGGAGGGTTTGGGGAAGGTCAAGAAGTCATCAGTCTTGACCTTTTACACAGGCCCATTCTAAGCACCAGGGGATGGGGCTTGTGGTGATGGTATGTGGATATATTATGGATTTATTATACACCATCAGAGGTCACAGATATTTGTTTATATGTTAGTTGTTTTTTACTTATATATCATAAGTAAATCCTACAGCCCATTTAGATGGGTGGTGTCATCTTCAGGGTTGTCATTTGACTTTGGTTACAGCTTAGGTTGGGGTTGATCTAAAATGATTTAAGATGGAAAAAATGAAGAGGCCTACCATATTTCAGAATGAGCAGACTTAATTATTACTATATGTCATTTCTTTCCAGGTTAATTTATAGCCTTTATGTTCTACTCAAAATCTCAATTTTTAAATTTTTTTCAACTTGATAAAATTATTTTATAGTTTACCTAGAACAACAAACAAGTGATATAATAAACATGATGTGGGACTAATACAGGGATGGGAAAAGGGATGACTTTTTAAAAAAAATTTATTTTTAGGACCCTCACCTGCCCAAGGATATATCCCATTAGGAATTTGTATTTCAAAAATGCTTAAAATAATTTCCTGTGTGGTTATCCCACCAACTGGATATATAGTTAGGTTTCTGTTATTTTGTTTTCAGTTTTGGGGAATTACCTTTTTTTTTTGTTTTCTGATTAAGTTTTTCTTTCTTTTAATGTAACGTATTTATGTGGCTCCAATTATAATATAAGGTATTTTCGGAAAGGAGATAACTTACTTTAAATGGTAATTTATTATAATATACATTTGACTAGTACCTGCTTACTGTAAGTGAGGAATTTTATATATGAACTTCCTAATCTTCAAAACAATTCTCAGTGTTGAATGGTATAACATTTATAGAACTCAATAGAATATTTTAGAAGCCATAAAGTGTAGGCAGGGATTTATATAGAGAAATATAATTTTAGACATCAGTGGGAAATACTCATGATGAAATCATGGAAAAAGTTATGATATAAGACCTTCATCACACCGTTCTGCAGTATGTGTGCATGCTGTGTTACATCATAGCAGAGACTGCAGTGGAAGTTGGTTTAAAGAACTGTTAGGATTGGAAGTAGAGAGACCTGCCAGGAGGCTATGGCTAGGCAAGCTGGGGAAGAGGGAGTGCTAAGATGGGGATACTCAGTTATATTAGTGTCATAAAGATAAATAAGAAGGACCCTCCAGACCTCTAGTTAGGTCATTGTTTGTGTGAGAATGGATTTGAGAAAGTTCATATCTAATAGCCTTCGTTTTTCTCTGAAGTAACAGGTGGCAGGATCATCTATTGACAGTTGAGGAGGTGGAGGGAGACTTGAGGCCCGCACTGAAGTTTTGGAGTAGCCACTTAGGTGTCTCCTGACCAGAGACATTTAAAAAGACTTACTAGAGGCCAGTAAGTCTGTGCACTGTAAATTTTAAGAGGGCACCAGTCTGCAGGATTGTGTGCTTTATTACCTAAGTAGCCCAGTTTAGGAGTGGAGAAAGCAAGTTGTTGTGTTGACTTAAGATTGCAAGATGAATGGTGGACCAGGGAGATAACGATATTGAAGGTTCTGACCAGAGAATTATTGAGGTAATGTATTATGTGATGTGGACTGATTTAAGAAAGGGCGTAAGGCTGTGAGAGGGACAATGGACTGAAAGAAGTGAGGGATTGAGGGACAAGAAAGGCCTAGTGAGATTGAAGACCAGGGTATAGCAGAAAGATAGGCAATTAGTATTTTGGTGGGTAGAGTTTCCAAGACGGAACAGTTCTGAGTGATTAAAGTCCAGTGTATGGTGGTGGGAATAGAGGATGGGTGAAGGTCATGGGAATTGACATCAAAAAAACTTTGAGGCTAGATTTTTGGATCAGTGATTTCGATTAGAGGCTCTCACTCTTCGCTGTACGTTAAAATCACCTAGAGAGCTCTTAAATACCAATGTATGTGCCTCATCTCAGATAATTAAGTCGTAATCTCTGTGGGTAGGATCTAGACATCAGTGTTGTTTAAAAATTCATCAGGTGATTCTTATATGCAGAGTTACGAAATAGGATTGTAGATGAACACTGAAGTCACTGATGAGACAGGTGTTGAGGTGAAGATGACAGGTGATGAAAATGCTCAATGAATGAGGATATTGTAGTAAAATCTAAATAAACTCAAACATTTTCATTTTATACCATTTGTGTGTGTGTAAATGTGAAAGAGAGGCTCTTTTCCTTTTTAAAATAATTTTATCAGCAGTAAGCAGATAGAGAATATTTTATATCACAATTGCCATTAAAATCAGCCTAGATGTACTCAACTGTCTCTGTCTAAAGGTAAACCTTACTTCCTTAAGGTCTCTGGCTACTTGGTTCCTCCTAGAGGAGGAGGAGCCTGGGTTGCTTTTTTCCTTTTGAGAGCACAGAATATCCCCAGACCTTGTACAGGTTCATTCCTTTCCTTTTTCTTCTTTTAATTCCATTACGTTGGTTTCTCTGTCCCCCCACTCAGCCTCTCCTAGTTTATAAATCCTTCTGTGTTCCCACATCCCCCCTCCACAAGACTCAGATACGTTTTTTCTGGTGAACTTGGCCTTATTTTGGTTAGTAATTTAAAACCTTCCCTTCCCCTTAATATATTATGTTCCTTTAATGGCTCTTGGACATTATCCTTTTGCCTTCTATGTTCCCACCTACGTTGTAGTTAAATGAAGCATAGGTTCTTAACCTTTTGTGCCCTTTTAACCTTTAGTGGTTTGGTGAAGTCTGTGGATCCCTTCTCAGAATAGCATTTTTTTAATTAAAGATTGGCCTTAAGCTAACATCTGTTGCCAATCTGCTGTTTTTTTTTTTCTTCTTCTCCCCAAAGTCCCCCAGTACATAGTTGTAGATTCTAGTTGTGAGTGCCTCTGGTTGTGCTATGTGGGACACCACCTCAGCATAGCCTGACGAGCTATGCCATGTCCACGCCCAGGTTCAGAACCAGTGAAACCCTGGGCTGCTGAAGCGGAGCATGCAAACTTAACCACTTGGCCACGGGGCTGGCCACCAGAAAAGCATTTTTAAAACTGTAAAATACACAGAATTAAAGGAGACTACTTATATTTGAATATAATTATCAAACTATTAAAAGCCAAATTTGTGCTGTAGTAATATATACTACTTTAGTATAGTAGGTCATTAAATATCAAGAGCTAGTGGGGGCTTTTATTGCTATATTTTCAAAGTAGTGATGAGTGTGAGTGATATTTTGAGATATTTGAGGCAGCTGTGACATGATATAAAACTATCTATGATTTCTGTTAGTGATGAAGCCACAGATACCGCTATTGCTATTGTGGTGTTTGTTGCCTACATTTAGGTAAAAAAGTAATTTTATGTTCACCTCAGATTTTATGGACCCACTGAATCCTTGGATTAAACTGTTTGATAAGTGACACTAGAACTAGAAATGTAAATCAGTAAACTTGTCATTTCTGACTTTGGATCTAATAAAAATATAACTTATTAAAAGTTTTAAAATATTTGCTTACAAAGCAGAGATCACCTGATGTTATTTAAAAAACTGTATTGGTATATCATATTGATATATACAAGAATGTTCACAAGCAGCATTATTCATAAGAGCTCCATACTGGCAACAATCTGAATATCCAACAGTAGAGTGGATAAGTTAATTGTGCAGTTACATAGCAATGAGAATGAATGGACAGCTGCCAAATGCAGCAACTATGAACCTCACAAACACAGTACTGAAAGAAAGAAGCAAGGCACAAGAGTATATACTGTATGCTTCCCTTTATATTAAATTTCAAAAGAGACATGAGTAGCCAGGAAAGTGGTTATTTTTGGGAGACAGGTAGTCACTGGGAGAGAGCACAGGAAGGCTTTTGCCAAGCTGGGAATGTTCAGTTTCTTGATCTGGGTGGTAATTACACAGTGTGATTAACTTGTCAGAATTTATCCAGGAGTACGTTTATGACTTGTACACTTTTTTGTATGTGTGTCGTACCTCAATAAAAACTTGATTTAAAGTTTTGAAAAGGTACAATCTTTTTTCCTAAATATGAAACTTTAATTAATCCTTTAAAAAGTGAGAACCCACTAACATTAATTCTTGGGATAGAGAAAGACAGTGTTTTATTTTTTATCTTTGGATTCTGTTTTCTAATAGAAAAGCAATTTTATTGCATTTCTCTTTTTTTCTTACTTCTCCCTTTGCCCCATTCATTCCCAATTCAGATACATAAGAAATGTATTGGAGGAAGTATTGAATATGACATAAAGTATGACATGAAAGGGGACCTTGAGAAGGTCCCTGCTACACTAGTATGACCTCATTACTAGAAGGAGCTATTTTGTGAGCTTCTAGCTTTGATAAACCTGGGAAGGCA